AGACAAAATCAATATCACAGTAAACTCATGGAACGAGACTTCGGGCGTCGAAAGGGTCATATGAACACATTATTTGCATTAATGAAAATTCTCGAGGCCAGACGGACATATATCATCATGCCGGTTGGATTCATCTATTCCTGATATTAATCGAATAAATAATATAAAGTATAATTTAAGATCGATGGTTCCCATTTTACTGAAAAACACAAGTGACTCAAAATCTATATCTGCAGCAGTAGAACAAGTTGTTGTTAACCGAGAATGGATTGAAAGGGATGCGATCACGAGATACCACTTTAAGATGAACTATCGACTTCAAAATAGATGGTGAGAAAACTAAAGACGCAACATACATCTTAACTGCACATATATTAGAAGATGTTGCTGTAATGCTATACACACTATTTTGACCACCTATATTAAGAATAATATCCAGTTTCCTTCTTAAAGTAATCATAATTTGTAAGCTATAAGCAGCTTAAGGATAAGCCATGAAGCGCAAGCCAAAATCTTTTGCTTGGAACTTTAAAGATACAAAAGAATTTGCAACCCTTAAAACGAATAAAACCATAAAGTATGAAGAATAAACAGAGGGCAACGTTTAACTAGGCATTCATATAGCCACCTTACATGAAAAATAATTATAACAACTTACATAACTTCATTGTTTCTAATTATTTTAATTGCAACCTCAAGGTTTCCCCGAGCACTGTCTCGAGCTCTGACGACATTTGAGAATACACCGTGTCCTGTGTAACCATAAACAGCATATCTTTTATCAAGAAGTTCTCCAATGCGTACACCTAAAATAAAGGACAATTGTGATAAAACAGCGTTTAATAAGACATATATAGCTGTGCTTAAGCTTACGATAATACCCCTCTGCATCATCCCAATTATCAACGAGTGAGTGGTTTTCTGAGGCCATCGCATTAAGTGCTATCGTTCCTGGAGCATTTTGAACATTAATCTCCACTTCATCCGCAAACATATCAAAAGTATGAGATGATTTAGAAACATCTTGAATTATGGATTCGTCACAGTTCTGTTCCTTAGAAACAAGAGCGGCATTTCTTATAGCCTGGGCAGCAGGTGCTTCTGCGCCAGAAAGTCGACCAGAAGGAGAGAAAGTAGACTCAACATCTGATAAGCGGTGAAAATGGAAACGAAATGTATCCAGATCAGAAAAACGACAGCAGCAAAAATAAAGTAAGCTGCCAGGACTATTAACAGAAGCTGAATAATTAATATTGAAATAGTATAAAATGCAAAGCTTCAACGTTTTTGGATTTGGCAATTACTTCAATGACTTCGCATGAAAAGAATATTTGTATAATGAAAAACCATAAAGATAAACAAAACTAAATATATGTTAAGTATACTAGGAGAGATTTAATTGCAGGACATTGAAGTAACACAATACCAAGTTTAAAGTCTGATATTGCGTGAGGATAACAAAAAAGAAAACTCACTTGAATGCAAGGAAATCAAACTGACACTCTTGAGCTTTTCCATCATTACCGAATCAAAATCAAAATTAACATCCGAAGATGTCACGTCATTTGCCTTATCATAAGGAGATTTATTCACATCATTATCGTCAGGAAGAACTGAAATATCGGTCAACTCCTGAGAAACTTTCAATTGCTGCACCAAAATTAAATAACAAAATGTACCTTAAGTAATTTTTGTCTTTCCAACCGACGTTTTTGGATAATAATTTCTTCATCTTCGTTGTCGGAATGAACTGATAAACTGAGAAATAAGAGATGTAATGATTACTCTGAAATTCTTGAATCCTGGCTTCGTTCAGATTTAGATTTCTTTTTATCAGAATGAGACTTGTGTCTGTGAGAGCGATGCCGGTGATGGTGCCGAGAGTTAGATCGCTTAGAATAGCCTGAAGGAACCTTAGATCTACTGGACTCTTTCTGATGTGAGCGATGCATGTCAATGTTTCTTTCTAGAGAATACTCGTACATAAATTCAGGTTGCTCATTGGACTGAGGTCTTCTGTCTCTTTTATGGGGAGATCGGTCGCGATCCCTGTGCTTATTCGATGTACTACGGGGGTTTTTATGCCGGGAATTATTTTGACGGCGATCATCGTAGCCTTCATCATAATATCTAAAAGGGGATTGAATAAAATACAAGTAACTGAAAAAGAATGTGACAAAATACAGTGTTAGATGTGTACCTATAGAAGCTATACATTTGTACGAGAATTCAAACGACGTAGACAAAGTAATTTATTCAAACAAAAAACGACATAGATTCTAAAACAATTGTTTTAAGGACAAAATTATTTTTTAGATTATCCATTTTTTCAATTTTTGAAAAATAATATTTTTCATCTATAAGTTTTTGTTTTAAACATTTTTTTTCATTAGACTTGATTCCGCTATTGGGTAGATGGATCACCTACGGTAATAAGCAAAACAAAAATTACCATGTCAACAATATCCTGCAGCAATGAGTAAATAGGTCCACTGTTTTCGAATTTTTTTTGCGAATACAATGTTATTGTCTTTCTTACCAAATTTCCAGTAGTAACATTTTGGGGCAGATGCCAGATAACCTAAAGCATAATCAGATTAATTAAAGTACTCCTCCTACAGTTTTCAAGAAAAGCAGATAATTATATGATAACGATAGATTTTCTTCATCTGATTTTATATGGGCGCTCGAGAGGTGATTCAGCAGCAAAATATTCCAGCTGCTCTCCATAATGTCTCTCTTTAATCGACTGATATGTTCCTTGACTTTGGTCAAGAGCTCGCCATAAACCTGTATAGCCAGGAAAACAAGAGTCTTGTTATCTGTCAAGATAAACCGTCGAAGGATAATGGCCAGCTTATAATAGAAAAGAAATAACTCAAATTAAGATGCGATAGAAATTAAACAAGTATATCATATCCAAACAAGAAGATTAAAAACAAATTTTAAAATTTAATGTAAAAAATATGCCCCATGATAGGAAACATTTAATTTGTATAAAGGTCAGAGAGTAACAGAGCCAAATAACTAATAAAGTACATTCTGATGAACTATGTTGAAAATCAGTTCTCAAACAATTTCTCAAAATACTGATGCTGGAGTAACTATCATTAAATTTGAAAAGGTGAGAGAGATGGATTCATAGCTTACTCTTGCTAGAAGTAAGAGGGAGATTTTCTTGGAGCTGTGACAGTAAATTTCAGTAAATTAGTCTTCGGCGCACTGTCCAGTGAC